GGGCAGTAAGCAGCCTCACACCACATCAGGCAACCCCCCTGCTGCAGTGGGGCTTGGGCACAGCGGGGCACCCCCTTGCTCTGCCGGCACAGGCGCTGCCACAGCGCGCACGGTGGCACAAGGACGTTGCTTTGGATTCAGCCCGGCACAAGCCTGGCGGCCGGTACTCCCAAATGCCGTGTTGAAGCCCGACTCGGGGTCCCACAGACTCACCTGTTTGGTAGCCACGTCAGAGAGGTTTCGCAGGGTCCAGAGACAGTTCTGGACCAGCCTGGGGCTGGAGCTGGTCAGGTGCTTGCCCAACGCCTGCATGCCACCTGCAGGGAAGGAGACACCAGCCCATCTGTGAATACCCAAAGATGCCCCAGCAGAGAGGGGAAGGGAGAGATGGGGGGGTTTGCGTGGCGAGCGTGGGTTGGGCACCACCCGACCGATGCCTCCAACGCACGACGCAGCCTCATGGCTTAGCGGAGGCCAAATGCGGTGAGGGAAGACAGCTCCCGGCCGGCCAGCCAGGTCAGATCCTGCCCACGCATGATGCCATGAAAGCACCTCAGCTGCCTTTCAGAGCAAGAATCCAGGCCACACGCAGGTGGTTTCACCTGGCTGTGCAAGGCATCTGCCTGTCTCGCACATCAGCTGTGAGATGGCACCCTCAGCTGCATCACCCTGCCAGCATCATCCTCCTCCTGCGTGACACCAGCTCTGCCACAGCCCCCCAGCCCCTCTTACCAGCCTCAACGATAGCAGGCTTGTTGCTGGGACACACCGACAGCACCTTGAGCACCCGGCTTGTGGTCCAGAGCAGCTTCTCGTAGTTGTAGCTGCGCATGATCTGCACCAGGGCCTGGGGTCCTCCATTGGCCAAAATAATCAGCTGCAGGACAGAAGGACCAGGGTTGGGGTGTGCGGCAGCTCTGGGCTGCTGGGACCACCAGTTTCACTTCCCCGGCTCGTGCCAGGACATGAGTCAGGTCCAAGCCCTCGGCATGCAGGAGTGCTTTGGGTCACCATGCACTGCCACCGCCTCCCCCAGCTACCCCAGCCCTGCGCACCAGGGTCCCCTGCCCCGTGCCGCAGGCAGGACGGGCAGCAGCCCCCCCAGCCAGCATCAGAGCAGGTCCAGGGACCCAAACCTCCACGCGAGGCTGGGACAACTTGTGCGTAGGAGGAAAGGAGCAGCTGAGGAACAAAGACAGAGGCATTGCCCGAAGCAGGAGTGGGAGAAACCCAGCTGAGCCGATCTACCGGCCAGACTGGGACCGTCTGCGCTTTCGGGGACGCTCAGCAGCTCCGCTGTTGGCTGCGGCCAGGGGGCACACAAGCCAAGTCGGTGGGAACTCCCACCCCCCCCTCCCTGGCTCTCCTGGCAGGACCCCACGCCATGGGGCAGGCCAGGCTCCCCGGGCACACCTTGCTCTCCTGGTTCCCATAGGCGAGGAGCTGAAGGCAGTCGGTGGTGATAGCCAGGAACTTGGGGTTGTTCTTGTTCAGGAGGGGAACCATCTTCTGCAGGCCATCGGCCAGGCGCACAGCCATCTTGGCCCCTTCCTGGTAGAGCAGCAGGTTGTGCAGGGTGGTGATGGCGTAGAAGAGGACTGACTCGACCGGCGAGCTGCAGGCAGGCGGCACAGAGCCACGTCAGCGTGGGCAGCTGCCTCTGGGCTCGCCAGGCTGCCGGCGGAACCCCCAAGGCCACCCCAAGCCCCAACTCCCACCCAGCACCCTGCAGCAGGACCCAGTGCAAGGCCACCATCCTGCGTGCTCCTGGGGCTGCCCTCTGGGAAGGGACAACTCCTCCTCGGGGCAGAGCAGAGACTGAGCCCCGTCTCCATGAACCAGGCAGCATGGGGGGCTGCTCCCCTCCTCCTGCCCCCACACGGGCTCCAAATGCAGCAAACTCCTGGAGCTTTTGCAGGCTAAAAGGCTCGAGGTCTCCCCCTCCCTTGTTTTGGCGTGAGCAGAAGGAGGACCCATGTCTAGGGGCAGCACGAGCCCCCCCATCCTCTGCCCCCACCCCAGGCACTCGCCTGGCACCAGCCCGGGAGGGACCGCTCGGGCTCTGCCGTCCTCTCGGGACCCCCTGCCGGCACCCCCATACCTCAGCATCCTGACGAGGGCCGGGATGCCGCCAGACTTGAAGATGGAGAGGAGGCCCTCGCGGTGGTGCGAGAGGTTGTGCAGGATGCTGGTGGTGCAGCGGGCTGTGTCCAGGTCGCTGGTGCTCTGCATGGTGCGGACCACAGCCGCCACGATCTGGGGCGACTGCATCAGGGCCCGGCGCGACGCCTCCTTTTTGGAGAGCTGGTTGACGATCATGGCCGCTTTGCTGACAACCACCTGGGGGGAGAGAGAAGCCGGCGGGTGGGAGGGGGTCCCGCTGCCCGTCGCAGTAGGGAGGGGAGGGATCCCACTCTGCTGGGCAAGAGCTGGCCTGGGGCTGCCGCACATTGTGCCGGGCAGGGCGGCGCTGGAGAGGCAGAGCCGGCACAGTCAGCACAGGCGAGGGTCGCTAGTTTTAACAACCCCCATCCACGTAGCTCCAGGAGCTACGCCGCGTTTCGTGGCAGCGTATGGGCAGGTCCATGGAGCACAGGCGTGCTGCCGGGACGGGCGGCGGGGCTGGGGCACCACGAGCCTGCAAGAAGCGCTCAGTGTCTGTGCAAGGCCAGGGCAGGAGGGCTGTGCCAGAGCCGCAAGGACAGGCTGCAGAGATGCGGGTGGGCAGCCCTGGGCTCAGCCCTGCTGCAGCACAGTGGGGACCGCAGAGCTTTGCCAAGAGAAAGGCGCCGGATGGCGGCTGTGGAGCCCCGCGAGGATGGGAGCCCGGCTGCGCTGCCGCAAATAGGGAATTGCATCCCGCAAGCCTGGCAGCTGACAGCCCAGAGACACGCGCAGGCAAACCACGCTTCCCTGCTCACTGCCAGGGGGGTTGGACTAGATGACCTCTAGGGGTCCCTTCCAACCCAAAACATTCTATGATTCTATGATTCCTTACCGGGTCCTCATCATTGAGCAGCTTGGTGAGCTCCGGGATGGCGCGGGTGGCCAGCTCGGCGTCATCCTGATAGTTGATGAGGTGCACGATGGCCGATTTCAGCATCTGCGAGGGCTCGGCCAGGCGCTGCACGTTGGTCTGCTGCCCCTCCAGCTGGGTGGTGATGAGCAAGGAGCGGTCCTCCACCGTCTCGGGGTACATGGCAGCCCGGACACGCTGGGCCCGGGTCATGGCCAGCTGAGCCTCCATGTCTGCTGCAGGGGGGAGACGGGGAGGCAGCGTTAGGCTCGGGCTCTCTCCAAGGAGCACTCCCAGCCCTGCTTTCCAATTTCAATTAGCTGAGCCAGAGCTTAGCGCAACGACACCGGCAACGTCAGCAGTCCCAGCACGCTCTGCAAGGAGCCAGTGCTTCAAAGCGTAAACAGATACGGCAGCGCGAAGATAAGACAACACTCAATTAGGCAGCATGATTAAGCAGTTGTCACACAAGGCCCATTAATTAAAAAATTAAGGATATTTGCAACTTGGGAGCAGCTGGCACCGGGTATTAGGGAGAAGGACGCGGAGGCCTTCCCCATCGAGGATGCGGGACAAGTGCGACCCGAGGGGCAGCGATGCCGCAGCAGCCACCCGCGGTCCCCACCTCTGCGGCACGGGGATGCGCAGGGCTCGGGAGGGCTCGTCCCTCTCCACGGGGCTCTGCCTCCCCGGGGGAGCTGGCAATTAAACCTTCCAGGGCCCATGGCTGATGGGGGAACCGCAGAGGCAAGCGGAGCAAACCAGCCCCTTTTTAAGGGGTAAAGCTGGGGGAAGCATCTCCTTTGGCTTTGGGGGCTGCATCTCCCCCTGCTTTGCCCTTGCAGCAGCGGGAGACGATGGGCCAGCCAGCGGGGCTTTGCGGCACACGCCG